GAAATGCATTTGAGAAGAAATGGCAGCTGGATGGGATTTGAGCCGATTACATTGAGTTTTTGCAGAAAATATAGCAATTTATGCCCAAAAAATGATGAAAATCGGATTAAAAATTCGGGAATTTCACGAATCTGAGAGAACATCTCTTCTAGCTCGTCGAGAGGTTTCGATAGATACCTAAATCGTAAAGATCGGACTTCACTGTGGACGGCTAGAGCGGGGTCTTTTCGTGGGACACCCTTTAGATCAGGATCACTGTTATATTTAGGATCGGCTACACCACTAATCCAGTTTCGGGACAGCTTCTCTCTTCACAATGCCGAGGAGGTGCTTTTTGAGGGCATCATGTAGTAGCGAGACTCGAGCGAACCTTGCTGGTGTGGCAGAGCCTGCAATTCTGTGGGCAGCGCTGGTTGCAGATTCCCGGCACGTAAAGATTTTTGTCGCGAGCCCTGAAAAAACCGCACAGATGGGTAATGGTAATCGAGGAAGTATCCGACTTGGGGCACTCGACACCGAGGTAAGCGATGGCGATCGCCGCTCCGGTTTGACCATGGATCATAAACGACTCAATCTCGGGACCTTCCAGAGTCAGGCGCGTGCACATTGAATCATCACTGAAACACTCTTTTGTTTACAACAATATCACCTTGAACGGTGCCATTTGGCTCGTAACGTATTTGTAGGAGGACCAAATTTTTTTAGGAGTCTAGAAATGTCTAGTTCCTTAAGAGCGCATTTGAATAGGCTTTGGTAAAAAAACAACCACATTTCCACTCGAAAAAACTATGGAATAAGTTTTAAAACGTCGGAATTTTGGGTAAAAAAAATCGATATTTTGGCATTTTTCAATAAAACCAGGGTTGAAAAGCCGCTACGCGGCTTTTCACCCCTGGCCTTTGCGCGGGGATCTTAAGACGTTGGGTACTTTGCATAATTCTAGCGAATTAGCGCCAACCTCTCAACCCTAATAAGCACAAAACCGACCGACTGAGAGCGTGACAGAATCCGAAATGAGCTTCCTAACACCTATTATGCAAATGAGGTTATTTCCATATGTTTTTTAAATCGCTAAAATAAGATATAAATCGTCATTTTATTAAAAATCTGATAAGCTTGCAGTAATCTACGCCTTCGACTACCCCTAAATACCTTTCGATCCGGTCCTAAAATTCTTTCCCCTTTCCGATATCTTGGTAACCCGGTTTTTTCGAGCCATTTATGCAAAGTGTCCACACACAAACACACAAACACTATTTTTTTATATATAGTAGGATGTTGTATAGTTTTCTCATTCATGTATGTTCAAAACCCTTTGCAAGAACTTCCACTATTCATCATCGAAAAATCAGATCCTAAGAAAAAGCTGGGATGGGAGATGATAATGCGAAAGCACCAATTTTGGCAATTTTTCGAACCGCTGATACCCCCTCCCCGATGATACGGAAGCACCCGTTAATGTGAAGGGTGTTTTGAAGAAAAGAAGAAAGTTAAAAAGCGAAAAATGGACTACAAGGAATGAAGCCTCTTCACCTGTTATTAAATACCGTCCCCGGGGGCACATTCATCGCACTGCCCGTTGTACCAATACTTGCAGCCGGGAGTCCCCCCGGCACGCTCCAGATCGATCTGAAAATTTGGGTATTTTCCCGTTTGCGGGGGTGCGTATTTTTTGATGCTCGTTCGAACGTTTTTTTCTTTCCTCGTCTGTGGTTCAATTACCCGCCCCCAACCGACCACCACCTACCGTATCTTGGCTCCCTGTTCATCTACAGGTGTGTAAAAAGACCAAAACGGGCGATTTGCTCTCCAGAGTATTTTGGTATACTTTACACACCTGTAGATGAAAAGGGAGCCGAGATACAATAGTTGGGTGCCGGCTGGGAGGCGGGGGGTAAACTATACTCTTACCCTTTCCTCGAAATAGAACCGAATCGATACACAAACGCGCAAAAAAACAGACACGTCGGTAATAGTTTTTGCAACGCCCGGATTTTTGCAACGCCATTCGATGGAGCGTCGAAAAATATACTAAAAGTTTTAATTTGAGCCTAAAATAATGTAAGATAAAACAAGGTTATAGCGAAAAAAAACATTCCGGCTGGGGGTGGGGGTAAAGTAAACTCTTGCCGACACGTTAGATGACACATGGTGGATAACTTGTGAAAATGCCAGCGATCAAATCGTTACCCACCACATAACTCATGGACGCATCGGCGGTAACATGGAGGCCAGCACACCGGATTTCGTTCAACGCCGTCATTTTCCCGCTGTCGTCGACGGTGATATTTGTCACATGATATGGGAAGACTGTGTGGCTGAAAAGAAATATTTTTAATGAATTTTAAAAGCGCGACTAGTTGTTTTGACATTCCGGGAGCAAATAATCGTCGTAATGTACTGGTAGTAAAATATGTCGTCGACATTTTGCCCGTAGCACTCGGTCAGCCCGCCGGTTTCCGTGCTGAAATTTTGTAGATACATTTAATGCCAAGCCAGAAATTACATATAATGCCACGGCCAATCGCATTCTTCGCCTTCACATCTTGTATAGCTGAGCGTGGAGTAGTTCTGAAACAGCGATAAGTTGGATACTGATAGTAAGGGTGCATACCGTAGATGCACAAGAGTGGTAGAAGAGCAGCACCAAGACGAGGAGGATCCGGAGGATCATCGAGAAGACGACCGGATTATCACATAGGAGTCTCGAGATGAAGCCAATTTGTGTCGCTTTTGGCGGCCTCGGCGAATTCATACCGCATGCTAATTTTTTTGGCTATTTTGCCAGATGCTAATTTTTTTGCAGTTTTAAACCTGGGTGACCGGCCCGAAGAGAGTGCACGAGAGAGCGAGTGTGAGAGAGGGAGGGAGCGGGCCAGATAGATAAAAAAAAAGGAAGAAAAAGAAAGAGCGTGAGAGAGCTAGAAAGAGCGAGCGAGAAATCCAGCTTCAGCAATTTTTCGAAACCATTCATTTATTCAAAAGCGCCGAAAAACCCGTACAAATAGAGTTTGCAATCACAATTACAATTTGCAATGAATTAATGTATACGCTTTAATAGCTTGGATGATCAACGGCTCGGGCGCGGTGAAACGACAACTTCGGGGCGTACGATGTCACCATCTCCTAGCGGCTCATCTTCGTCGGTTTCTGCCTGGAAAATGAGTTTCGAAACGAAAATTTCAAAATCTTACCTGCTCATCGCGGATAAACTCCCGGTAGTTCTGCAAATCGTCCTCGAGCACGGCCAAAAGCTGATCGAGCCGCAAAAAAAAAGTTAATATAAGGTCACAATTTGCGAATTTTCAAACATTTTTTACAAATTTCTAGCAATCACAAACTACTAATAAGCGCAAAACACACCAGTTATTATTAACAAGTATAGGTGAAAAAACAAGAATAGGTTGGTTAGAGTGAATTTATCCCCCCCCCACAGCCGGCACCCGACTTTTGTATCTCGGCTCCCTGTTCCTCTACAGGTGTGTAAAATAGCCCAAAATGTGCGCCTTGCTCTCCAGAGTATTTTGGTATACTTTACACACCTGTAGATGAAAAGGGAGCCGAGATACGGTAGGTGGGGGTCAGCTGGGGGGGGGGGGAGCGTAAACTGCACTTAAGCCAATTGGTTTACCCGTTACTAAGATTTTACCATGCTCATAAACTCACAATATACGAGATGCCATTCATCAGCCGGATGGCCGACTCAGTGACGTCGATGAAAATGTTGCCGATCGACATGGCCAGATCGTGCGCGAGCTCGAGGATCAGGATGGCGACGAAGCGAAGGATCTAAAATTTGGGATGCTGGATCGGGGGGGCAAAAGATAACGATGGACCTATTGGAAGCCCCCATCGCAAAGAAATCAACTCTGGACTGTTAGCGGGGGGAATCACTTTTTGTTTACCAACTATAACTGCCCGTTGATGATATATTATATATTTTTATAATGTTTTAGCATGTTTTGATTGCTAGAAGCCATAAAAAAATTTTGAAATTGAAAATTTTGAGCTTGTGTTGATCATTTTTCATTTTCGAAAAGTTATCATGGGTTTTTTATTGTTTTTATGCTTAAAAAACCATGGAAATGTTATAAAAACGGTTTAGATTTTGTTATAGGGCTTTAGAGAATCACAGGGACTCCCCCCGCTCACAGTCCAGTACGAAGAAACCAGCAATCGGTGGTGCCCAAGTTCAAAAAGGACACCTACAGATTCACCGATGCTGTACAGAAAGTTCTTGACCGGGTGGAGGATGCAGTAGACGACGTAGCGCGCGATCGCTGGACCTGGAAATGCGGTTTTTCAGCCAAAAACTGCTATGGAATACGTCTGGTAGAAGCGATGAGCGTGGACTCCAAGGCGTTCATCTCGGCGGCAAGAACTTGAAATTTGGTGGAAGCCAAGATGATGTGAATCAGACTAGAAATGAGAAAAAATATCCAAATTTCTGCAAGGAAATTTAGGCAAATTTCTGTTTGTTACCGCGGTATAGGTTTCGCAGCGTTAATTCTGAAAATATTACCGTTCAAGCGGCTGATTCCTGTAGATCCGCAGGTTCTTTTCCATTATCGGGGGACTTGGTTTTTGCCGATAAGCCGAAAAGTATTTAGTGAGGCAATAGGAAGTATTTTAATAGTGTGTTATTATATTATGTACCTTAACAGGGTTTTTGGAAAAATTGAACTATATTCCAAGTGGAAAAATGTCGAAAAACTTGAAACAACTATTAAAAATCGAATTTTCCGACGAGAAATTTTTTTTAACGCAAATCGTTCTTTCTTCTCTTTTAATAGTTTTAACCCAAATTTCTCAAGTTTTTCCGTTTCGGGATACTTAAAATGTTTTACCATACTTCCGGTATTTATGAGCAAAATTCGATACTAGAGAAAAAGTTTCGGAGGTCGAATGGTCGCTTTCGAGGCGCGGTTACCTTTGGGCAAGAAAATCCATAAAAAATAATAAATAATAAAGCAAGAAAAAACCGATCCACCAAATAATTTATTCCAAACATTCACCCGGAAAGCACAATGACAGATACAGCCAACCGAAACGTAATTCTTTTCCCATTAAATTGTCATTTGTCCCATATCGGACATCAGTTAATTCAGGCATTCGACTTGAGTGACGCCTTGGAGACGACCGTCGCGTCAGGGTTCAGCAGGCGGTGCCGGGCGCTGCGCTGGGCGGGGGCGCTGCTGGGCGCGCTGCGGATGCGTCCTCACGTAGTGGAGCAGGTCGTCGGGTTCTGAAAAGTGAGGTAGTGCCACCAGCTACGGTACTTCAAATCTAAGCGGTTGTGGTTCGTTAGCGGGGGTACCAATTGTTGTTTGAAATAAATACACTAACAAATCTGGAAAATTTTTTACTGAAATTTCAATCGAAAATCCGCAATTTTTGCTCGAGAAATTGGCTTTTTTCTCAAAGTTTGTAAAGATTTTTAATTAGGCATAATAAAACAGGGTAGAAACACCAGAGAAATAGAAACAGCAGTAGAAAAATTGAAACTTTGGTCGAAAATCGATATTTTGTCATTCAATAATTTTTTGTAACGTTGTAAAATTTAGGAACGCGTAAAACACTTTATAAACCACTCGCTCTTATATTATAAAAATTAGATTCTAAATCAGATTTTTGTGTAACATTTCCGCACCCCGCCCCCCGGAAATACCAAAGGACCTTTTAAATACAAAAATTTCATAAAAATCTACCCGGAAATAGATCGTAGAACTCCGCTGGCTCCATCTAAACAAGTGGGGGATGACGTCGAGATTGAGCAATTTACCTCGGGAAGTCCTTGACGACGAAGAATACGATTGCCCGTATCGACGTACTAAAATAATCTTTTACAGCCGGAGGTTTCGCGGCCTACGTCCATGATGGCATGGCGCAGCCGAGCGATCCGCCTGTCTTGAACAAGCAGGTACAGACGGAACTGGAACGGGGAAGTAGATTTTGCCGGAGGATGCCCGTCTTTTTGGTTCTGGTTCGTTAGCGGGGGGAGCAGGGCCTGTTGAGTTAAGCAAACGCTAACGAATCAGAACCGTCGTTTTAGGGAAACAGATCTGGTAGTAATGAAGATAGATTTTAAATGGTCTTAGTAGGTTTCGATTCCGCGAAATTCATAAAAAGTTTTGAAAATTCGAGAATTTCATAATTTTTGGGCACAGAGCAGGGTTGGTCACGAAAGGACCCGGACCCCGGACCCGAACCCCAATTTTGACCCGGGGTCTTGACCCGGACCCGGACCCCCCGAATGGGGGTCCGGGTCCGGGTCGGGGTCCGGGTCCGGATCTTTTGAGAGTGACCCGGACCCCTCAGTTTATTCTGCACCGGAAATACAAGACTGGCTCGAAATGCAAATTTTTCTATGCTATACCTGAAAAGTCCTCCCTCTACGATGGTTAAATGATCATCGAGGGGCGAATGGTGTCTAGCCCGATCAATTTACTATCGAAAACTGAATTTTAGAACGTATTAAAGTGTTAATAACTGAATATGAACTATTTATCTTCAGCAAAACTTATCGATATCTACAAACTTCAATGTAGTATTTGAATATTTTACGTTTTGCATTTACTTCCCAAGAATGGCTCGGGGGTCCGGGTCATTTTCAAAAGACCCGGACCCGGACCCGGACCCGACCCGGACCCCCGAAATGGGGGGTCCGGGTCCGGTCCGGGTCCGGGTCGGGGTCCGGGTCTGACCCGGGTCCCGAAATGGCCATCCCTGGCACAGAGTCATAAACTTCGAAAACTTTTTTTCTAATTTCTGTTCCTGGTTGTTAAAAAATATTGTGTTGTTATAGCATTTTAGGTAATTTTTGATTGCTGGAAAGTTACAAAAATTTTTTCACGTACCAGTACCGAAATGTCCGTTCTTAAATCAGGATATGTCGGCAGGAAATCGCTTAACTATTGAAAAAAACGCGGCCCTGGGCACCTAACTACGGAACAACGTCACCGGAATGTGCGCGCAAATGCATTATTTTTTCTAGTAGAATTGGGCCCTAGGACGAAGACCTAACTATCTCCCAAAAAGTCCTAGACGACCCACGAATCGTTTGAAGAGGCGAACAAGCCACTTCAACTTCTCGAGAAGCCAGAGAACCGTCTCGAGAACGAGCCAAAAAAGCAGCAGAAACTGAAAATGAAACAGAGCTGAAACAGATTAGAGTTAGCCTATAAAAAGTTGTTTACTTGCGTCAAAAATGATAGTATAAATTTTCAGAATCTCGGGTTTTCAGAACATCGCAATTGCAATGATTCCCTTATGGGAAAGATGACTTTTAGGAATGATGACTAAAACCCTATTCTAGTCTACCGAAATCTACTTCCCAGCCCCTTTAGGTGTTATGCTCCTTTTGTCGATATCCGATCCGGATCCTAGCTGTTTAGATCTTTTTTGGCTAACACTACACTACCACTATTACTACTATAACTGTACCACAAAGAAAAGACAATTGATACATACCGGAAGTTTGCTGCAGTACAAGATCCCGATCAGCCACCACTGGACCTGAAAAACTAGCAGTTTTCCATGTATCAGGTTGGAAGGTAAGTCCTGTCGCCGAGATTTTGAAGTGCTGGCTAAATTCGTCATTAGCTCCATTCCGGACATGCGAAATGTCATTTTGTAGCTCTCGGCCTGAATCGTTCCGGGAGGTGGGTCCTAGACCGCCAAAATCTAGGGCAGCCGAGATACAGGCCCAAGAAGTTTTTCACAAAATCACCAAAAAGTGTTTTTGCAAGTTATCTCTGCATAGAGCGATTTGCCTGCGATACCTTGAGCGCCAATCGATAGCTCTGGAGGAGTAGATATCGATAGATGTTGAGATCATCAAAATTGGACACTGGATGGCCAAGATATAGCCCCTTGAAATTTGGCCCATTTCTTAGAACTTTTACCGATTTCCCATACACTTTGTCAAAATTCACCCGGTGGGGTCCAAAAATAAAGCGGCAATTTTCGCCCCTGCTTGCCACATGTATGGGTATATATGGAAAATCGGGAAAAGTTCTAAGAAATGGGCTAAATTTCAATCAATCATGTCTCGGTCATCTTGTGTCCGATTTTGATGATCTCAACATCTATCGATATCTACTCCTCGAGAGCTATCGATTGGCGCTCAAGGTATCGCATGCAAATCGCTCTATGCAGAGATAACTTGCAAAAACACTTTTTGGTGATTTTGTAAAAACCTTCTTGGGCCTGTATCTCGGCTGCCCTAGATTTTGGCGGTCTAAGGCCCTCCTCCGAAAACGATTCAGGCCAAGAGCTACAAAATGACATATTGCATGTCCAGAATGAAGCTAATTACGAATTTAGCCAGCATTTCAAAATCTCGGCGACAGGACGTACCTTCCAACCTGATAAGAGTCTAGAAACCCCCCCAGCCGGCACCGACTTTTGTATCTCGGCCCCGCTTTGTGCTAGCGAGCTCTAAAGTATACCAAAATGTTTGCCGTAGGCTAATTAGTAAGACTACATCGCAGGTCAGTCGAAAAAAGTAGCGAAAAATAAAAATAAGGAAGGCAGAAAAGTTGAAAAGTCCGCTGGGGGGGGGGGGGGTTCCTAGACTTGAGCCGTTTTCG